GGTGGTGATGTGTTAGTAGTGGATGTTATTATCTAAAGGGTGATTCAGTCAACAAATACAAATAAAATTAGCAACGAAAAATTACTAACCGTCAACGGGTTAAGGACATCAGTCCTCGGCGTCTCTGACCTTCCATCTGTGCGGTTAGAACACTGCAAGACAGGTGAGTATGAAACGACATGACTCGCCCCAAATGGTACAATGCAAAACTAACTAATACACGAGATAAGCATTCTCATAGGGCCCCGTATCGAGGCACGCGGGGACGAATTCAACAAAGCAGACATCTCGGCACGGATGGTTCTAATTTCAAACATCTCAGCGTAGGCACTCCTAAATTCAGACATAAATTCCCTAATCTCAACAAGGCCTTTTTGATAGTCCTCAGCAAGCTTTTGGAGATCAGGACCATCGGGCCCTCCAGTCAAATGACTCCGGGGGTAGGCAGAGCTGGCAGCACTATCAACAGGTGTTTTTATATTCCTTTTCCCCCCTAGTGCACAGCGGTACAAAGCCTCACGAGCCGCCGGGGTTCTTTTATCAACAGGAATTTTATTAAGTTCATCATTCAAATAAGCCTACACAATTTCAAACAAATAAAAACTATGAGGGGAAGAAGAAGAAGTACTACAATTCCATTCAACAAAAAGTGAGATAGGTTTGCATACCAAAATTTCATCAGTCATCTCATCATCACCGCCACGTCCATTCGTGCGAGACGACATCCAAATTTCCAAATTATCAGGCTCTTTCCCTATTGCCTTTATCTAAAAGTTAGCCAAATAAGAAACCAGTAGTTAACTTCATTTACACATACGAAATGGGGAGTCGTAGCTATTGATTACATTATTGCAAAAAGAAGAGAATGAAGGACCTCATCCGCCAACGCTGTGAATGGTTTCCGGCCAGTCCTGTGCGGAAACTTTCTTTTGATGGAATTATTGGTATTTCTCCGTGCAATATCTTGCGAACATCGACCCATATGAATTGGGGTAGTATAAGTAGCATGGAAAGAGCATAAAAAGATGAAGGAAGAGATGTAAGTTGCCTTAACCTTCTCATCCTTCCAATACTGGATAAGCAACGGTCATTCTTCAGCGACAATCCGATCGGTGGGGACTTTCTTCAATGCTTTGTCGTCATATTTGACCATCAGATTTGGATTTGATGTCTTCTTTGGATGATCCGCAACTTTGATTTTTGGTTTGCCTTTTCCGCCTTTTGGAGAGCTTCGGTCTCCGTGTGGGCGATTTGATTATCGCCTTTGGATTTGATGTCTTCTTTGGACGATCTGCGGCTTTGATCTTTGCTTTGGCTTTGCCACCTTTGGAGAACTTTGGTATCCGTGTGGGCGATTTAATCGTTGGCTTTGGATTTGATGTCTTCTTTGGACGATCAGCGGCTTTGATTTTTGGTTTAGCTTTGCCGCCTTTAGGAGGGCTTTGGTCTCCGTGGGGGGTGATCGTCGGCTTTGGATTTGATGTCTTCTTTGGACGATCCGCGGCTTTGATCTTTTTTTTGTATTTTCCGCCTTTTGGAGAGCTTTGGTCTCCGTGTGGACAATTTGATCATCGGCTTTGGATTTGATGTCTACTTTGGACGATCCGCGGCTTTGATCTTTGGTTTATCCTCAACTTCAGATTTGATGTCTTCTTTGGACGATCTGTGGCTTTGATCTTTGATTTAGCTTTGCCACCTTTTAGAGGGCTTTGGTCTCCGTGCGGACGATTTGATCATCAGCTTTGGATTTGATGTCTTCTTTGGACGATCCGTGACTTTGATCTTTGATTTGGCTTTGCCACCTTTTAGAGGGCTTTGGTCTCCGATGGGCGATTCGATCGTCAGCTTTGGATTTGATTTCTTCTTTGGACGATCCATTACTTTGATATTTGGTTTGGCTTTGCTGCCTTTCGGAGAGCTTTAGTCTCCCTGTGGGCGACCTGATCGTTGACTTTGGATTTGATATCTTCTTTGGATGATCCGCAGCTTTAATCTTTGATTTGACTTTGCCGCCTTTTGGAGAGCTTCGGTCTCTGTGTGGGTGATTTGATCGTCGGCTTTGGATTTGATGTCTTCTTTGGACGATCCGTGGCTTTGATGGACTCTTCAATGGCTTTTGGAGCTTTGATCATTGAAGAGGTGGATTTGGTGCTCCATAACACTTTTAGCGGCGTGTCTCTTCGACTTTTGGATCGAAGAGGGCCGAGTTGTTGCTTTGGTGAAAAGCGTGATGAACACCTCGAAGCTTTGGGATGAACTTTGGATGCTCTTCCTTGGCTTTGATGGACTTTTCAATGGCTTTTGGAGCTTTGATCCTTGAAGAGGTGGATTTGGTGCTCCATAACACTTTTGGCGGCGTGTCCCTTTGACTTTTGGATTGAAGAGGGCCTAGTTGATTCTTTGTTGAAGAACGCGATGAACATCTTGAAGCTTTGAGAGGAACTTTGGAGACCTTCCCTTGGCTTTGACGAATTCCTCAACGTCTTTGAGAGCTTTGATCCTTCCTCCAGCTTGGACATACGATGAAGAACGCTAACTTCATTGATTCGTCAACCAATATTGGATCATTTGTCCAAATTTGTGACTTTCGATGAAGAACGCTTTGAAGGACACGAAGAACATGAAGAACAATACATAAAGAGTCTAGAGACTTACCCATTTGCTTGAATCATCGATGTAACTTCAGTCTCTCAAATGAACTAGCCATGACTCCTATTTATAGGAGATGGGTGGCTTTGGCTTCGTTTTTTAATGGTGCCATGTGATGCGTTTTGATTGGTCAATAGGAAGATTTTATAATCTTTCATTTTCCATCCTATGCTCTTTTCCATTCTTGACGGATTTTATTGTGCACCTTCCTTTCTCGCCAAGATCTTTATATCATATAAAAAAAAAAAAAAAAAAGATCTTTATATCATTGTCCCTTTTCGGAAGATATTACTTTATATACTTCCTTTATTGACAAGATTAATTAATTTTGATGCCAAATTTAATATATCTCTATTTATGCACGTAATATTTGTATGATATCTTCCATTTTAAACAAATTTTTGCATTAATGGTTGATATTTATTGTACAAAAATTAACATATGTGCATAATTAAATACCATATATTTATATTATTGAAATTTTATTTTCTTCCAAAATACATGATATTTAATTGATTTTAAACATATATTTTTAGTATCTACAGTAGTAATAATAATAATAATAATAATAATAATAATAATAATAATAATAATAACAACAGTTATGAGACAATATTGGAGAACTACTTGAGAATTTTTACTGTGTATAAATATACAGTTTTGAAATATTGATGTGGATTTTTACATTTTTATTAGAAACAATAAAATATGAACCATAAAAGATTTTTTTTTTTTTTTTTTTTTAAAAAGTTACTTTACAAAACTTTTGATTTTTATGGCCAATTAAACATAATATTTTTTGGATCGAGAACCATCACCGCCGACGCATATCATATATTGTAAGGATTTCATAGGTCTTGCTGAACAACCACCATTGTTTCCAAAACTATTTCCATATTTGGTAATTTCATTTCATTGTCCTAAATGGTCATACGTCCTTCATGATAAGGAAAGCAATTGGGATTATAACCACTTCTTTGAATTGGTTGGACCTGCACCAGGGATTTGTCATAACAGAATGCCTCGGAGGGTGCAATGATACATATGTGAATTTATTGTAGCTCGTGGGACAGATAGATTGTTAAAAGATATTTATATTAAAATCTAAATAAAAAAATTCAACTTCAAACATAATTAAACAAACTTCAATACATATTATTTTTAATATTATACATATATATATTAACATATTGTTGGAAGTCGCGGAGAGGGGCGCGAAAGAGGTCCAACGCCTCCGAGTACCTTGCACAGTGGAACTGTGAAACGTTCGACGTAAACACAGCTTTACAACGTAGTTGTCTCGCGGTTATAACAGAGGTGTGTGTTCATGCACGAATCGATGGCTGAATATGTGCAAAAAAACAACACACCAAGTTTGTTTACCCAGTTCGGTTTTCCAACCTACGTCTGGGGGATTCCAATCCAGGAGTCTTAACTAAACCAAACACTTGGTTTACACCATATAAGACACCAAACCGAACTACCCAACCTATCTTCTACCGAAGCTCCATTTAGTTTTACAAACTCTCATGGACTGGCTGTTACTCTACCGCAACAACTCCAGCAGGCCAGCGACCAAGCTAAGAATAAGGTTGTTTACCGGATGAATATCTTCTTCGGCTTCGACTCCAAGAATCCTTCTTCTCGTCTTCAATCCTCCATGGATGAGCTCTCTCAACACTCTAACAGGTGGAGAGAATACTTCTCTAAGTTCTGGTTGCTCACCCACGAATACAAACAAACATCCATATCAAATATATACACATTACACAAAAGACAAAAGTTGACTGTGACAACATTTTGGGCAGTGTGTTCAATGTCATTTAATGCCATCCAGTATGAGAGGACAATACATGCAGCTTCTCCTGCACGTCCTCTGTCCAATGCATATTCATTTGTCCTATTCCATTGAGTGTAGAACACACAAGATGCATCCAAAAGCTGTAACTCGGTCAACTCTGCAGTTGGCAGGTTTCCCGAAATGGTGTCAAACAGAACCTGCAACAACATCCTGCAACTTGCTCATATGCCAAAAATAGAAACAAAAGGGTTTGGCAATTTTGAATATGCCAACAATCTCCCCCTTTTTGGCATATGCAGCAAGGCATAATAAGCAGCAAACACACACACCATTCACACATCCACAGTCACAATCACAATCCGGTTAAGAGTTATTACAGACCATCAATTCTAACAAGCCACAAGCGGCTTTAACATCCAAATGTGTTAACAACAAAAAAACAGGCAGAAAACAATAGATAGTAATACCAAATTCCTCCTCAACAGTACACACTCCCCCTGGCTTGCTGCATTCTCCCCCTTGCATTGCAGCAGAGGCCAAAAAGAGGTGGTCAAGGGTCGGCTTCCTCCGTACCGTTACCATCTCCATCATCATCTGCATCAACGTCCTCATCATCGACGCTTCCAGGTTTGCGAGGCATCAGCCTCATGGCCTGTGCCACTTTTCTATTCTGAGCAATGAGAGCAGCAGACAGAGCAGATTGTTCCCTCATGACTTCAGTCAGTAGCGCCCTACACTTCTCTATGCGAGCATCGGCATCCAATGGGGCACCGAGAAGAAAGTCATTGTGAAGCTTTTTGAGGTTGGACTGGGCAATAAATGATCGAATGGGAAACATCTCCTCATCCGGTTCTGGATGAATTCCCTTGGAACTCAAGAACAAACAAATTAAACCGGGATAGGGCAATCGTGTCCATTCCACTTTTGAATCCGAACAAAAGTCAATCATCTTCTTGATTATCAAATAGCCAAAATTAATTAGCTCAAAATGTTTATCAATAGAGAAGATGAGAGTACCCATATCAGTGCTGATACTTGTATTGTTGGCGGTTGGTAAGATATTGCATCCACAAAGTCTAAAGAGACACTGATATTTCATTGTCAGCATTGTTCCAGTCACTCCAGAACGTCCAAATGACGAAGCATTTCTAGCAGATATGGTTCTGGCAACCTCCTTTGTTGATTCATCAATCAGCTCAGATGGCAGCTTATTTTCATCATTCGCCGGCAGTTGTAACAACTCATTGATCACTGCAGGGCTAAGTTCCAAAATTTTGCCACGAATATATATCTTATGATACCATAGAGAGTTCGGATCGAGTACCTTCCCACTCAAGTTGGCATAAAACTCCTTGACACGGCGAGGACAGTAACGCTCCAATCCGGTCGCCCAAAACAACAAATGTTTTTCCTCAAGGAACGCACGAAATCCTACGTCGGTATACGCTCTCCGAATAAACTGAGCTTCTGAAATCACAGTCCTTCCAGCAAGAATATCCTGAGCATAACGACGCCCAGAAGCATAATAATATGCCTCATTCAACGCTTTATCTTCACGAACAGTAGGAGGATCAGAAACTCCTTTAGACTTTCGACTCTTTGCCTTAGTCCTTTTGAAAGTCTTTTTAGCAGGGACAGGGGCAGGGGCATTGCGAGATGAACTGCCATGTTTTCTTTTCCGGAGTCTGTCCAAAGCAGAGGACAGACGAAGAGAGTCCAACTCATCTTCTTCTTCTTCATCATCGATATCGGGGTGTTCCATAGGAAGAGCTTCTTCTTCCTCAATCACATTTTCAGGAATGACTTGTTCTACCTCTGTAGCTTCAAAATTCATATTCACGGGTTGGGGTACTTCTGTTCCAACTCCTTCAATGTCTTCATCAGGTACCTCTTCAAGCACAGCCTCACTTCCAGGTTCATCAACAGCAGGAACCTCTTTTGTGATTGTAGCATCCTCTGCATCACCGCCAGTAACAGTTTCAACTTCTTGAACATCAACAGGGTTCTCCTCAGTATTTTCTTCTTGTGTCCCAGCCATTTCAATAGCGACTTCATCTTCATTTGCAGTTTCCATGGGTGCGACTTCATTTAGATCAATTTCATGCACAAAAGCATGTTTCGCTACATGACCTTCAAGTCCTTCAGAAAGAGAATGATCTTCAGCAGTTGAGACAGCGGTTCCCTCATCATGGGCTACATCAGTTGCTGGAATCTCAACTTCACGATCAGGTTTTTCCATCACATGTTCATGAACGGTTTCAAGAACAGGGGAAAAACGTTCAGACAACTTTTTCCCTTTCTTTGTAGTTCCAACTTTCCTCTTTGAAACAGATTTTTGCTTAACATCCTTGGCAACTCTGCCGGAACGTGTTTTCACCATGGTTGGAGATTTTGAGAGAAAAACTCCTTCACAAGTTGAAATTGGGGTTTGGAGAGAAATGATGAGTGATGTATGTGCACTCTGATCCGAAGATATAGATACAGGGGAATCAAAAAACCTTCACACGCAACCTCCATTAATTCCCATCAATCCAGGCGCGTGGGATGTCAGAGCGACGTTTTGACGTCGGAACACTGTCCAAGGCTGCAGACTCTGCAACCCTAAAAAGGCTATTAATTTCCCTTCCAATAATATTCTGCCACGTATTTCTCCTTTCCTTATATTTACCCAATATTCCAAAATATATCCAGATAAAATCCCATGAATATTGGACTTAATTCCTTCAATAATCCGCACTAGTTAAGGTATGAACACATACCTAATTCTCTTCTTAATTTCTCAAACCTCTCTGAATCCAATGCTTTGGTGAAGATGTCTGCCTTTTGAAAATTAGTTCCAATGTGCTGCAATTTGCACACTTCAGCTTCCACAAGCGTTCGGATAAAATGATATCGGATTTCTATGTGCTTCGTTCGACCATGTTGAACTGGATTCTTCGATATGCTGATTGCACTAGTGTTGTCACACCACAGTACAAACGACTCCTTCTCAATTCCATAATCCTTCAACATTTGCTTGATCCATAACAATTGCGCACAGCAACTTCCAGTGGCTACATACTCCGCCTCAGCAGTAGACAAAGCAATCGAACTTTGCTTCTTGGAACTCCAACTGATCAAATTTTCACCAATGTAGAAACATCCTCCCGTCGTACTCTTCCGGTCATCACAGCATCCGGCCCAATCGGAATCAGTAAATCCAATTAGATCAAGTGATGATCTCTTTGAATACCATAATCCAAGTTCGGATGTTCCATTAATATACCTCAAAATTCTCTTTGCGGCTTTCAAGTGAGATTCTTTCGGGGCTGATTGGAATCGAGCACAAACACCAACACTAAATGTGATATCGGGTCTGCTAGCTGTAAGATACAACAGACTTCCGATAATGCTCCTATACAACTTCTGATCGACATCCTTTCCTTCAGCATCTTTAGACAGCTTGTCCTGTTGTCCCAACGGTGTTCTAACAGTTTTAGAACTCTTCATACCAAACTTCTCAACCATATTCTTTGCATACTTTGTTTGGTTCAGAAATATCCCATCAGGACATTGCTTAATTTGTAATCCAAGGAAATATGTCAGCTCTCCAATCATACTCATCTCGAATTCTGAATGCATGAACTCTACAAATTCATCCTTCAACTTCTTTGCCGTTGATCCAAAGACAATATCATCGACATAAACTTGAGCAATCATAACATCAGTACCTTTATGTTTGATGAATAACGTCTTATCTGTGGATCCTCTGGTATATTCCTTTCCAATCAAAAAGGTAGACAATCGATCATACCAAGCACGGGGTGCTTGCTTCAATCCATACAAAGCTTTCCTCAATCGGTAGACATGATTTGGATAGAATGGATCTTCAAATCCTTTAGGCTGCTCCACATATATTTCTTCTTTGATCCAGCCATTCAAAAATGTAGTTTTGACATCCATTTGAAATAGAGAAAATCCAAGTGAGCATGAGATTGAGAGTAATAATCTTACGGCTTCAGTTCTTGCAACGGGGGCAAACGTTTCATCATAATCAACTCCTTCAATCTGAGTGTATCCCTGTGCAACTAGCCGAGCTTTGTTCCTTGTGATATTCCCTTTCTCATCAGATTTGTTCTTGAATATCCACTTTGTTCCAATCACATTGATGTCATCTGGTCGTTCTACCAACGTCCAGACTTTGTTCCTTTCAAACTGATTCAACTCATCTTGCATGGCACTGATCCAGTATTCATCTTTCAGCGCTTCTTCAATGTTCTTTGGCTCAATGTTAGACACAAAGCAATTCATGCCAGCAAATTCTCTAAAATCAATTTGTTTTCCTCTGGTTCGACGACCTTCTTGTGGATCTCCAATGACAGCATCAATAGGGTGGTTCTTAGGAATTCTTGAACCATATCTCCTTACTTCAGCTTCAGATTGACATTCTCCAGGTTGTTCTGCAGCAGTGGTAACTTCAGTAGATTCATCTGCTTCACTCCAATCGAACAACATCGAACTCTCATCACGAGTTGTTTCTGGAATCTGGGGTAGAGGATTCTGAACCTCAGGTAAGACATTCTGATTCTGAATAGTAGGAAGAGGTATCAAGTCTTCATCATCATGTTGATTGACTGATTTCCTTTCCACACGAGAATCATCGAAAGTTATATTCATCGATTCCATAACTTTCTTCATCCTCTTGTTATAAACGCGATAAGCTTTGCTGTTATGAGAATAACCAATGAATATTCCTTCATCTGATCTTGCATCAAATTTTTGAAGATGACTCCTATCCTTCAAAATATAGCATCGACATCCAAATGTGTGAAAGTATGACACATTCGGCTTTCTTCCTTTCCATAGCTCGTACGGTGTGATCTCAGTGTGGGGTCTCAAATATACTCTGTTGATCACATAACATGCAGTGTTGATCGCCTCAGCCCATAAGTACTTTGCAACACCTTTGGCTTGCATCATTGATCGAGCCATTTCTTGAAGTGTTCGATTCTTCCTTTCGACTACTCCATTTTGTTGTGGGGTCTTCGGGGCTGAATACTCATGCAGTACTCCAAGATCAGAACAAAAACCATCAAACTTTTGATTCTCAAACTCCTTACCATGATCGGTACGAATTCGATTAACCTTTGATCTATTTTCATTCATCAGTCTTTTGCACAATTTTTCAAAGGTATCAAAAGTATCTCCTTTCTCTTTCATAAAATCAACCCATGTATATCTCGAGAAATCATCAATGCAAACAAGTATGTATTTTTTACCTCCAAGACTGGGTGTATCCACTGGACCCATCAAATCCATGTGCAGCAAATCAAGACAAGTTTTGCTGCTTTGATGTTCCGACTGCGGATGAGAGACACGTTTCTGCTTTCCTCGAGCACAATCACCACAAACGAAGTTAGGTAACTTCGAAAACTTTGGAAGTCCTCTGATAATTCCTTGCTTGCTCAACTTCATCAAGCTCTGTTGGTTGACATGGCCAAGTCTTGTATGCCATAGAAGGGCTTCATCATCTTTTGAGATCAATGCAACATCCACTGGTTTGTCAAGTAAGTAGCAGTTGTTCCTTGACCTTTTTCCAGTCATCACGCACTCTTTCTTGTTGTTGTAAACCTCACAAGCATCCTTAGTGAACTTCACTAACATCTCATCATCACATAACTGACTGATACTAATGAGATTAGTACTCAAGCCTTCAACAAAATATACCTTCGTCAACTTCGGTATACCTTTGGCTTCGAGAGAACCATAGCCCACAATTTTTCCTTTGGCTCCATCTCCAAATATCACTTCTCCACAAGTGTCAGCTAAATAGTTCTTCAATAGATGCTTCTGATTCGTCATATGGCGTGAACATCCACTGTCGAAATACCATCGGGATGAATTTGTTGCTTCTTGACTAGAAAGGATGACATTGCACATCATCTTAGATTGATTCTTCTTAGGTCTCCATTCCATTCTGAAATTCACCCTTTGTTTCAGCTCAGCTGAGGGCCAATTAACCTTCTTTCCAGACATCAAATCCCTAGCCAGCTTGAAACAGTGAGATTCAGCATGACCAAATCGAAAACAGTATTTGCAGTTACTCTTCTGTTGTAACGACGCGTTGACACGTCTGTTCCTTCTGCGATTTTGATTTTGTCTCTCCTTTCTGTTTTCTTTGGGACCTTCAGTGTTCTTCCCTTTTGCAGGTTTCTCTGGAATCTTCACATCAGTAAGCAAACCTCCTTTCACAAAGGTAGTTGGATTCACCTTCATGGATTCTTGATAACCAATCCCACGATGATCTCCAAATGGCTTTCCAATTGATAAAACTTCATCGAGTTTGTCTTTTCCTTTTCTGAGTCTATCATTTTCTTCTCTCAGATCATCACATTTCATTTTCAACTGCTTGACGTCCTTCTGAAGTCCTTCATTGATTTCGAACATTTCTTGATTCACTTCCTCAGCTTTTTCAACTCGAGCTTCCAAACGGTAAACTGTGTTGATCAAATCCTTGTTTCTCTTCACACAAATTTTCTGTTCAGCTACAACTTCCTCATAAGCTTCCATTAGCTCATAGATATCCATCTCGATTGTGTCGTTGCTGTTACATTCTTCTTCAGGAACACTTTCTTTTCCTTTGCTAGATTCTCCTTCTTTGGCAACAAAAGCAACAACGCTTTCATTATCACTTTCATCTTCAGATTCTTGACTGCCTTCTTCATCACTCCAGGTAGCTTGAAATGCATGCTTACCTTTCTTCTTGAATGTAGCACATTCCACTTTCACATGACCAACTCCGCCACATGCAAAGCATTTCGGATCACTTGAGTTTTCTGGCCTAGAAGTAGTGTTGAACTTCTTCTTGTAGCTTTTATCATAAGCTCCCTTTTCTTTGTTGTAACCAAAACTTTTGTGTTCTGGATACTTTCGTTGTTCTCCAGTTGTTTTACCACCATAGTGACCTCTGTTTCCAGAATTGTGGTATTTTCGAGCACGCTTTTCACTTATCATTCGAGACAACTTCTTGGACAGCAGAGACATTTCTTCATCAGATCCGACAAGCTCCAGATCTTCGGCAGTAAGAGCAATCCCTTTTGAACTTTCTTCTTCAATATGATTCATCTCCCAATTCATGAAAATACCATTCAATGTTTCAAGATTCATGTTCTTGGTTTTCTTCTTATCCTCAAGAGTAGAGACTTTGATTTTGAACTTTTTGTTCACACTTCTCAGCATCTTTCGAACCAGCCTTTGTTCATCATATACTAAGCCAAGAGCATATGCTTGATTTACCACATCTTTGAATCGAGTGTAGAACTCAGACATCGTTTCATCATCAGTCATTTTCAGGGCTTCGAACATACTTTCTACCCTTTGGAGTTTTGTTTCTTTAACTTC